GCATACTCCGACCGTTATCCTCCAAATATATGGCTCGAATCCTGCCGCAAGTGGTTGCTGGGGCGACGCCTAAACTGAAAGTGGGTCCAAACAGGATTGAACCTTTAATATTTTAGGAAAAAGTGAGTCCTCATTGAAAACCTCAATTGGGCGGTTACTCAAGGTTCCACAATTTAGCTCCGTCCATGCGAAGCTGGAGTTTGTCACGCCGCGAGAAAGAGAGAAATTATGTAAAGATGGCACACCTAATTTCGTTTGGGGTGATAGAGCGACTGGTAGTTGAATATTCCCACAATCGTATGAGTCGACATGACGTCTACATTGAAGATTTCATAGACCTGCTTGCCAAAAGCCATTCTCATTCCGAGTGGACTGCAGTTTCCACTTGCCAACACTCGAAGCGGGACTCGAACCATGACGGTACAGCGTGCTGTGACCAATGGGCGTTCGTGGAAATGTGGCTCATTGGTTCACGTGTCGAGCATACTCGATTAAGGCAATATGTATTCCGAAGAGTCACTTGTGAGTAACTAGACGCCAATCTTGGTTGAAATGAATGCGTGAATTGATGAGTGGAGGCGGATTGTGCCAAGAAAACTTCGGCCATTCCGAGGGCAGACATCATCGCAACAAGAAGAGATACTTTGCGATTTAGCGTAGCAACGTGCCTACTCATGAGTATATTGTTGCGTAAAGTAATAATAATATTGTCTGTGACACAACAGCCTAGACAAATCAGAGTCAGGAAGGGTGATCCGTCATTATTCATTTCGCTTTTCGACAATTCACGTCCTCTTTTCGACCAAAATGGATATTTTAGTCGCAAGAAATTATGTGCTTTTAAGGGAGATGTAATTCGACTTTTTATTCCAAAGGACATGTTGGTTGGAAGGATTTGGTCTGCATTATTGTAAGATGAATTGGTCACTCTATCGTCATGGGGTCGTGAAGATTTGTCTTGACGACAATTAATTCTACTCACGAATCCCTTCCTTGGGCAATTTCGGTCAACATGACGGCTCGAGAGAGGAACATGCAACAAACAATCGCCACGCAACTTTCGCAACTTACGCAACGCGAAAAGAGTGCAAACCGGCCTTAACGGGACTCGAGCCCATGGACCAAAGGCTAGACAGATTGGAGACCTTCTCTCCACCCACCCCCATCAACAATCGGTCGCAATCGGACGCGGCAACCAATCGGGCGTAAGCATGTCCCAGTCCGACGCCAGATCATCCACGAGCGGGTCCGGCTCCGAGTTCCGGCCTCTTCGACTTCCCGCCGGGCTGGGCGGCTGATTCGGTCACCTCTCACCGGTTGTGATACATGTTCGGCCAACTCAAGCCTTGCGGTCGTCTGCCAAAAGTCTCTCTCTCTATCTTTCTCTCTTTCTCTCTTTCTTTCTTTCGCTTCTACCGTATGTCCACCCAGCCACATAACGATTGCGCAGGTTATCAGAGTCGACATCTGCCCGGCAGGACTCGAACCAAACAGACATGCACTTTCGGGAGGGGAGGGGAGGGGAATTTAGATGAGATGAG